TTATAGCTTTTGATTGAATGTAGGTTTATTTTTGTGTTTTCCTTGTTGACATTGTGAATATATTTTGGATGATAATCTACCAGAAGCATAAATATATAATACAATTTAGAAAACTTCTATTTTGACAGGTTTCACTGATGAATCACATAATAAAAAAAAATCTATATTAATGAGACAAAACATGATACTCATTGAGCGTATGAATGCCCGATTTTTATTTATAACTGTATTGTTTAAGAAGTTAGATTTTAATTTATTTTAGCACTGATTTTATGCAAATCACTATGTCTAGTTTTGATTAAAAAACTATTTGCAAAATGTTTATAAATCTTAACTTTGGAAGTAATCTACTTTATTCTTGTAGACAACCTCAGTAAACTTACTAGTTTTACTTTATTGATAAAAAAAAAAAATGAACAAATTGTTCCCAAAATGATGACAAGTTGGTGTTTGGTTTAAAATTAACTGTTAGATGAAATTTTGGTAGTAATGTATGTTTTGAGTCATTATTTCTTGGATTCAAGTGCCAGTCTAATCTAGTTGTAAATATTATACATGATAAACAACCTTAATTGAAATTTAATGATAGAATTTTAGGAATATTTATTCAAACATAAATTTTACCTTTTTATTTAATTTATAAGCATTAATTTTATGTATTAGTGCTTGTTGACAAGTTATGTGCAGTAAAAAATAACATCTTGTGTATTACAGAATAAATTATTTATCACTAAGGTGTCACAGATTTCTTTTCAAATTAATGAACTTTAAAGCTACAGGTTACTATATTTGACTTTTTGTTTCACCCTTTCACTTCTGATGATTAGTATATATCACATCAAATTAGATATTCATAACAGTAAACTTAAAATTCCTTTTAATTTCATCCTGTGAATTTCATGTGTATGTGGGGATATTTTAAATTCATTCATACCATTGAACAGTACATTTACTGTCTGGATGGACTTAGTGATAGAAATAATATACTAGAATAAATATATACAAAGTATATTTTGATATAATTGATTCTTTTGTACTATGGATTTGTGTTATTTGGTCATTGAATAATCATAAGTTTTATAAGGTAAATCAGATATAACTTAGATATTAGTGATTATTAAAAAAAAATTATTTCAAGAACCTTTATGGCTTAAATCTTGCTGTATTATTTTTTGTTTTAATATAACATTTCCTTAGATTTTTAATTGAGAATATAAACTATTAATTTTCATGTCTCAATATGTCAGAGTAAAGGCATATTGTATTTTTGAAATTGTGATTTTATTTTTTAAACAAATAATACCAACTAGCATAACATTTTGTATTAATAATCATACAGTTTAATATATTTAACTTTTTTAAATACTATTCAGGAGCCTGAATTTAAGGTGAGTGATAGTACACCACAAACTAATGAGCACAAAATCGATTTCTTGTTACTATTTTCCAGCACAAAAGACTTTGTCAAATCAAATTAAAAATTGTTTTAAAACCTTTTAGACTCCTATAACTAACTCACTCCAATTATTTTAGATATAAAAAAAAAAGCTTTTCAATTGTTATACTATAATCATTATGTACAAGAAAAAATCACTTTTGCAATGTCCTAGAAAATATTTTTCCTTTGATAGTTAAATACATCCATATTTTTCATTTAAATTCTGATTTCTTATTAACCAGAGATTACATTGAAATGTAGATTATAATTGAATAAGTTAATGGTTTTGTTTGCAATCAGTTATAGCTTTTTGGACTTCCATATATTAATTGGTTCCTTTCGTTTTTCTAATCACTGCACTTAGATCTCTGATTCACTGCAATCAGATTCACTCTACATGGATGGATGTGAGCACTAAGAAAGCGAAACCCAAAATAAAAAAGTTATCTTCTGCATAGGGGCTCTGAGTATCATATCCAGTCCACAAAACAAATCCCCACAAAAATCTAAAATGCAATAGCCAATTACGAATGTTCTCACTAAAAAAAAAAAGAAAAAAAGGTGACCCTGGGAGCAACCAGATTTGCTTAAAAGAAAGCAAGAGGCCACCTGTTGACACCAGCATGTAGTTGTTATCATCACCACTGTGACCTTGCCAAAGCTTTCCCACTCTCACCAGACTCTTTACACACAGTATCAGGCTTACAGGCCAGCTGTCAGCAACACCACCATGACAGCTCCACTCATTGTCATCAATCCAATGTAACAGCAACCAGATTTGAACACGTTTTTGATCACTCAAGCTTAACTAAATCTGCTTCAGGCCTCTGTTGTCCTCACCACCATGATCTACAGGTCTCTCTCATTATCACCACTTGAACCCTGTTTCTGTTAGATCTCACATTCAACCAGAATCCAGCAGAGACATTCTGCTACCAACCTGCCAATGCACTATTTGTATTGGCAAAGTTAGATTTGTAGCTTCACTATCCACTCCAAGCCACCCTTGTTATCACCAGGGTCACCCTGTTTCATTGATTTACCAATCGACTAGAATCCAACAGACATTCCACCTGATCAAGCTTCACTATCCACTCCAGGCCTCCCTCATTGCTGCCAGTGTAACCTTGGTCAACCAACCAGTAAATGCACCTTACTGACCTTACCATAAATCAACCCTGCCAGCATCAAACACTCCAGCTTCAACATCTCAGCTTTGTCACATAACTGATGCCAGCCAATCAACACCTCACCAGTTTTTTAATTTCAACCCTGAAAAAAGGTATCAATTCTGCTAATGACACACCCACTTGGCTTCACTAATCTGCTCCAGGTCTCTCTCCAGACACAAACCATGACCTCAGCCAACCAACCCAACAAATCAGTCAACTTCCAGTCTTACCAAAAACACCCTTACACCTATTGCTTTGCTTACCAATGGCAATTAAAGAACCACATATCAACAATTTTGTCATCTTTTCACAAAACTATGTATATATTCTCATAATTGAGCAATACCTGCTATTGAAACTTTAGTCCTTGTTTTTTTCCTTCCTTTGCAACCATATCCATGTTATAACAATATCTATATGTAGATATATAAATACATACAATGATATCTGTAGTTATTATGTTAATACATTCAGCAAAATATTCCATCTTACTGGTTTCTTCAATTGTTGAGTGATGCCATATAGAGATTTTTTTCCTTTATGGTCTATTGTTTTTTATCCACATCATACTGATTATATATGTATACACATGGAAGGCATAAATCCTTGAATATAGACTCTCATATTCTATTATGCTAATCAATATATGCTGTATAAATTTGGTTATTGATGTTAATAAAATTTTCAGGATATATTTATTGTTACATGATAAAAATGTCATGTGAATTTTAGATTATATCTTTTTTTATTAAAAATATTTGCAATAACTTATTTGGTGGCATGATATATTATGCAACTCAGTCTGTTTAGCATATTTTGAGTGTGTGTGCATATATATATATATATATATATATATATATATATAGTACAACAGTTCTTGATAGGTCTTTTTAATTTCAGATATAAAGTTTGCCATGAATATATAACATCAAAAGAGAAACAAAGATATTTTAGAGTTATCAGCTTTGGAAATTATGAAAAAGGAAATTGAAACATTGGCAAGATATCAAAGAAAAAATGGCTTTAAAAATGTCATAAAATGTGGTTTAAGAAAAATGAAATTAATTAATACACAAGAAAAATGGATTGATCACCAAGAAAATATTTAAAGTTGGTGTTGCAAAGAAGAGGAAAAAGATGCTGAATATGAAGAATACTGGTTACACATAAAAGTAACTAAGCTATCACCTTTAAACATCAGTAATGTATAAGTTGAGTGAAGAAGTAAATGAAAATAATTTTTAGTGATTAATGTAGAACTACAGTGGATGGACCTCATGGTTGGTTGGGTTCTTCATAGAAATTGTCAATCAACGTAATATAGAAGATAACAGTAGAAATGGGGAGTAATGTTTTAGGGTGGTATTGTAAGTAGTAAATTTATAGGTCCCTTCAAAGTTGATGATAGCATCAAGATAAATGCTGTAATTTCTTGGACAAGATGTAAAAACAAGTCATAACCTTAAGCCAAAGTGTATATTCATGCAAGTTAATACCTCTTCACATTTCTAAAAAGCTGATCATTGTCCACCTTGTCAAAATTTTTTTCAAAGATATCAAATTAATGGAATTATCCCCAATCTCTACAGATAGTAATCAGATGAAAGACTTGTGAGCTATCATTAAAAGAGATGGGAATAGAAAACAGTATTCAAGTAAATAAGATCTCTGGGAAGTAATAAAAACTGCAAATAATGTTAAAAGCAGTAGAAAAATTTTAAAAATTATCAATGAATAAAAGATCAATTGAATAAACAAGTAACAATATATAGTATGTCAAAATTCAAACAGTTTACCTATCATCTCAGTTATTTGCTTCTTTTTCTATTGAATATTGTTGACATGTTTAAGACATAAATTTCTGTTGGCCTTTCCATCGTAATAGACTTTGTAATTCTTGAACAGCTATACTTTTTATCTCATCCCATAACAACACCTTTGTTGATAACTCAGATTGACCTGGACAGAGATACAGTAGTTTTTTTTTTATTTTGTACAGACAAATAATTTACAGCTGAAAGTAGTTTCAACTTTGGATACTTTTTCACATTGGTTTATTTCATTTTGGATTAGATGAAAAAAATACACTTTTCAACATTTGTCAATTTCTGTGTTTCTTCATTGTGAAGAGATTGTATAGTTATTTCTCTTGGCTTTTTACAGCAAATTGTGTAATTGTCAGTGTGTAATTTTTATTAAGTTTAAAATCTGAGTAAAATAATGGTGTCAGTTTACTTATACACTGAGGTGCTGAAAGCCATGGGAAAGATGCTTAGTAACATGTGCCCACCACCTATAACCAAGAAAATTATATATATATATATATATACAATGTATATGTATGATTTTATCTGCTTTCTAAATATATTTTTTAATCTTCTCTTTTACAGACTAATAGTTTTGAACAGCTCTGCATTAACTACACAAATGAGAAATTGCATAAATTTTTCAACCATTACGTATTTGCCTTGGAACAAGAAATTGTAAGTTTCAATGTTATTTTGCATTTAATTTTTACATGTTTCTATTTATGGTGTGTAGTCTTTAAATTTAAAGTATGCCATTCATTTAGTATTATGTAATAGGAATCAGTATATCAGGAAAAAAAAACTCTAGTAACATGTTCTTTTCATGATGGAGTAAGATTTTGAAATATCAGCAACAGCACAAAATATGGTGTTTAGCATTGTCTCCTCTCTTTTTTCAAATTCTTATTAAGATATCATACTTACTATAAAAGTGTATTTGTATATCTATCAATCTATCTGTGTGTGCATGAAAATATCTTTCTCATTTATCTTGGGAGGAGTCAAAAAAAGTCAAAAACAATTTCTTTAAGCATTTCTAAAATGTTAGTGGTTTCTTTGTTAAAGAAACTCATATGCAGCATTTAATTTATCTTTATAGAAGAGAATGTTAATATTTACAAAAATACAGGAATTTCAGTAAATCAAAATTTTAAAATGATTTTTTTGTTCAGCTTTTTCTTCACATGTATACTCTCTCTTTCAATGTTCTTATATAAATTCTTGTGATTATTCCATGGTTTCACTTTGCAACTAATGATTTTGGAGTGAATTCCACATCTACTGTAAATCTGGTGATAGACAACATCTACCAAAACTGTAGAAGGTCTGCTGTTATATTCCATGCTAATAGGAATATATACTTGAAAACAAGGTGGATAAAATAAGTAAAGGTTTATTGTAAAAAAAAAACAGTGCAATAAGAATAAAAGTAACACTTATGTACAAGGTCATTGCAAGTCAATCTAGTAGTGTGTGCTACTATTGGAAAGTCGGTAGTTCTCATGTAAGTCTGAGTCGTACTCAACAGATCCCAGCTAGACAATATTTACCTGCCTCCCCACAAGGTAGGATGTGGCACAAGGCCGAATTTAATGTGGGGCAATCTGAGCCCATATGCTCGGACAAAAATTCCCTGTAAACGCTGCATAAACAGGTTCGGGTTTGTCTACCTCCCCAGACAAGTCTCTGCCCTTCGGCATAGCCTCATCTGGGTTTCTCTCTGCCTGAAGGCTGAGAGTTCAACAGCAGCCAAGATCTGAGTAACAGATCCCAGCTAGATGGTATCTAACAACTGCCCCACACAGTGATGTGGCACAAGGCTGAATTTAATGTGGGGTTCCCAAGCCTGTAGGCTTGGCCAAAAAATCTCCATAGACCCCGCATAAATGGGATTGGGTCTGTCTACCTTCCCAGACGAGACTGCCCTTCGGCATAGCCTCGTCTGGGTTCCTCTCTGCCCAAAGGCAGAGAGTTTGACAACAGCCAAGATCTGAGTAACAGCTAGTGTATTTACTAACCTCCCTACATGATCAGATGTGGCACAAGGCTGAATTTAATGTGGGGAGTCCAAGCCCGTAGGCTCAGCCAACAATTCCCGTAGAATCCATGTAAAACGGGGTTGGGTAGCTGTTTCCTGAAGCAAGATTCAGACATCTGCCATTTGATAAGTTTTGTCTGATAATGTTGAATGCAGCAGACCATATACTCCTGTTCTGGACTTTCTACAAAATTACACTTCATATGCTGTAAGGGGTTTAAGTATTTATATTTAACTTTGACTCTTTCTTTAGGTACAGTACAGTCTAAACAACGTCTGAAGAAATAATAGTGGAACAAGAAGTAATTCTCTTATTTGGATGTAACTTTCACTTTACACCTGATATACCTTGTCACTTTTAATGAATTGACTATGAGGAGATGCCTGATGTTTTACAAAAGTTTTGATTGAAGATGAAAAATTTGATTTCTTTGTGGAAATATTTTCATTATTGTGACATTAATATATAATAATTAAGAAAGTAGAGAAAAATGGTGATGAGGAATGAAAAACTAATGTAATAAGCAAATCCTGTCTGATTATGTTTCAAATTAGTCTGCAAAGATATGTTCATGTTGCAATTATTGTAAATTGAAACGCATCTATCTTTTCATGTTTTATCTGTGCAACAAAGTTGATAAATAACAGGTATTTCTTGCATTTGGTTTGGTGGTAACTCAAATTTTGTATTTGTAATCAGTAAATACTAAACTAAAATCTCAATGTAACTTGTTGGCAAAATAAGTATACACAATTTATTTTTTCATCAGGACAATACATGGCATATACTTCTTAAATCCATTGTATTTATAACTTACTCACATTATTAATTCGCTGTTCAATTATTTTAACAACCTATAGAAATTATACTTTGTGGCACAATTTTTATCTTTGGGTAGCAACTGTTATTTCCTATTTGATTATGCCTAGAAAGTATGAAAAATGATTAATATTTCCTTCAAATTTTGCATTTGTGTCCAGAATAATGATATTTCTGAAATTTACCTATTCTCATTGGGAAAACTGGTGAATGTGAACCTTCTCATTCATGCAAAATAGGAACAAAATGAAATATGATTCAAAAAGTATCATTTATTTATTCTATGAAAAAAAAAAAAAAAAAATATGAGTATAAAAATGTAAATATATTTCACCCATTGTTATTAAAAAAATTTTTTTTTTAAATTTCTAAAAATCGTGTGCTTGATATGTAAAATTCTGACTTTGGACCCCAATTAATGTAGCAAATGCCACAAAAATACAGAATCTTGAATACTGAACATCCCTAATATTCTAGTATTTTTAAGGCACATGCAGGATAGTGTGGACACAATTGTTGACACATATTTAATACATATTTTTCCATAAAACTGGTTTAAAAAAATAAAAGTAGAAAATATTTAAATTCAAAAAATTTCAAAACTTTTACACATAAAAATTTCATTATCCAAACAAGCAAAACTTTCCATCTTACCTTCTAGAGTTCTTTTGTAGAGTTTTCAGGTGATATGAGGTGACCAGGGTTTCTAGATACACGAGAGGCATGCCAAAATATACCTTGTAGGCTTCACACATTTTAGCAGATATTGCCATAGTACTTTTTCATTTTTGTCTTGATAAATTCACTAAAGACATAGAAAAGTGCATCTGCTGGATGCTTACAACCTCTTGATGCCATCTGGGATAAATGCATCTATCAATGACAACTTGTCTACACTTGGACAGCTAGAAGTAAACTGAACTGTTGAGCTTACATCCCCTGTATTTAAACTACAGTCTATGCTGCCAGAATGTTCTCAAAAGTTTATGAAACTTCTAGAAAGTTCTTGAAAATTCTCCTTCAGCAACTTGGTGCTGAATCTGTAAGGAGTGTCATGGGAATTAGGTTAGTTTCAAAACATTGATGTTCAGATCACATAAGCAAAGTTTGAAGGGAATAATAGTCATTTCCTTTGCTTCCTAGATAGAAGCAATTAGAAAATAACTCTTACTGACCAAAGACAAAAAAATTGAAACTTTTGTTACACAGTGTATTATAATAAAAATGGTATTGCTCACATATACATATACACATACCTGTTTCATACACAGTGACTCAAAAAGATAATCATAGCTTGTTAACTATTATTTCATGTCAAGGTATCCAAAAAACAAGAATAGGACAAGAAAATAACTAATGGGAAGTTGAACAATAAAACCTGCTGTTATAGTTTTCAAAACTCTACCACTGTACTTTCCTGATTCAACCCTAACAAATATTTCTAATTCTGTACCCTATCCAAACAAAATTTTCATCAAATTGTATGAGTTACTAATTTTTGATTAGTATTTTTTCTTCCCATTTTTGTTGCTTTTGAAACACCTACAGTGTTATTCCATGATTTTTAGTAAGTATTGTTGATTAGAAATAAAGAATAATCCTTTCATGAAACTTGCACCCCTTCAGGAATCTGCTTGTGTGTTGATAATTTAGGAGGAGGAAATAAATGCTAATGAAAAATTAATATTATTTACTTCTGTTTAATATTTTTACTACAAAATTCAATTGTAGTATAAAGTTTCCATGGCTGTTAGTTTTTACTTACTGCAAAATGAACCTGGATACAAAAACTTGTTGTTTTTCTAAAGTAATTTCCCATTATTTGTCTTTAGTTCATGTTTCAATTTGTGTTTACTCTTTCTCTTAAATGTAATTCTCCTTTCTCTCTCTTTACTCTGTTACCATTCTTGTTGTTCTCTCTTTTTTTTATCAGCCTCATTCTTTGTAAGTCTCTTTCTCACCCTCTTTCTTGTAAGCTTCTTTTTCTGTAAGTCTTTTATATATATCTATAGCTGTAAATATATATATATATATATATATATATATATCTATAACCTATATATATATATATAATCTTAGGTTATAGATATATTTTTGAAGCTTACTTTAAAACCAAATAGGGATAAATAGCTGATTATTGCACCAATCCTGAGAGAACTTGACAAAATGAAAAAAAATTAGAATTCAAAATCCTATGCTTGAATAGCAACCACAAATGTTAACACAGAAGCTACAACCACTTCAGCCATTATAGCAAGTACCTTCTTGAGACTGAAATGATATTTTCAAAAGATGGTCTTTTCCCTTATGGCACAAAGGTTTGTAGTAATGGCTGCAAGATTGGTTGTAACAAGGATAGTAATTATCTAAATAAATTATATGATGCTAATACCATATCTCAGAACTTTAAGCAAATATTTTCTTTTGTTTCTAAATATAGTACAGTTGGAAATCCTGTCATACACTCTAGAAAACAAAACAGGTGAAAACCTTTTAGTAGACATTTTTGAAATACTGGAAATTTGTCTTCTTTTTTTTTTTTTTTTTTTTTACAAGATTTTCAAAACTGTCTTTCATTCATATATATATATATATATATATATATATATATATATATATATATATCAAAATTAGTAGATTAATGCTACACAGTCTTTTGAGGATATATGCAGACTGTGCTAAAAATATAAAAAATTTATGTCTATACTATAAAAATGAAATGAATTATTTTTGGCATAATAACATTCACACTGATTAGTTGAGATGCTCATTTGTATTTTTCTTATTTTAGACAGGTCCTGAAAATTTAAACAGAATAAATAAACAATTAGCCAGCATAAAAATACACCAATATATAATTCAATGTTTTAATAAAATTTTGCTGTAAGTGTGGATATAATCAACATGCATTTATATATTGAATGGTTAAAAAAGTTGGTTTTGTTTATTAAATCAAAATAAGAAATTTTTAAAAGTAATTTTCAGTATTGACTTTATAGTTATTCTTTCTGTCATCTTTCAAACAACTTCATAATCCCATCAACCCAGAACATTTTATTTTTCTCAGCAAGGAACTGGTTTTGGCATCTTTTGCAGTCTTCCAGACTTTCAAAAAATTGACATTTTTTTTTATTAAGAGAATTCTATAAAGATTGGAATAAATAAAGTGGAATATATTTGTTGAATACCAAATGAATGAAAAAAACTTTCCAGTGAAGTGATAACAATTTTTAACTGATCATTATGTGGCACTGTGGCAGTCTTGTATTATCCTGATGGAATATTATGCTCTTAACTAAAGCTGAACAAATATTTTCTGATAATTGTTGCTCTCAGTTGGTCTAGTTGAAAACAGTAATTGTTTAAATTTAAATCAATTGTTTGATTCTCTGGAAGAGAAGTAGAGGAATCCCATGTAATCTCCCCAAATATACATCAAGTTTTTCTTTGAATGAAAACAGGCCTTTTGCTTTCACTTGCAACATGATATTTAGTGATCGATTGTTGTAAAGTAATTACTTTTCATTGCCCATCACAATTTATTTAAAAAAAAAAAACACTACATTTTTATTCCAGTAAATCATGCATATAGTTCAGTAGTTTTTTTATTTTATTTATGTGGAAGCCAAACATTAAAGCAAATAACATAACCAAGTTAATGCAAATATTTTTCAACATTTTAGATATTTTGAGTTTGCTGGATATCTCCCATTTAGCAATACATTTATTATTCCCAAGTCTTGATTTGATCATTATCAATCCAACCATGGAACAATATTCAATGAAAAATCTTGAGCACAAAAATTTGTAAACCACTTTTGATACATTTGATCATTCACATTGCCTTCTCCATAAATTAATTTTTTATTTTTGCATTTATCATATTTTTGTCTTTAAAAAAAGCATAACAAAACCAAAATTCTGCTTAAATATCAGGTAAAGGTATAGAAAGATATGTTCAACTTCTTTTGTAACTAAAGAGTTTAGTAAATATTTTGCAGATTATAAAACTAAACTTTTGATTTTTTTTTCAGTACCAGAAAGAAGGAATCTCTTATTCTCACATTAACTACACTGATAATGGTCTTTGTGTGGAACTTATTGAAAAAGTAAGTATCAACAACTTTATTTTTTCATTTGTTATTGAAGATGCATGAAGATCAAAAAGTGCAATATACTTTTTTCCTTCTTAGGTAAACTTTAGATTGGTTTATTTATATATATATATATATATATATATATATATATATTGTCACTTCATTATCCATCTTCTAGTTTTTTAGGTCACCTAATTCATTTATTTATTTTTTTTTTTTCAAAGATTTTAATTTTTCACCTTGACCTTTTATATGAAGCAGTTTTTCTCAGTTGGGCCTTAAGCCAGATTTAAAACTGAGTTTTTCTTTTCTATGTATATTTGCAAATGTAGGCATTTTGAAGAGTGTAAACATTAAATGATTTTCAGTGATTTAAAATACATTTTTATTGTACTTTGAGAAACTATAGATGAAGTTAAAGTTCCTCATTTAAATTCCATAATCATGGCAATCACACATTTTCATCATGGAAAAATAATGACGGCAATAATTTTGGCTGGAATTGTTATATCAACAGTCTTCTCATTAACTAACTACATTTTCTAATAAGTGTTGTTTTAATTGTCACAGTCTTGAAAATTGTGCCATATATTAAACACAATTATCATAGGTATGATGTCATAACACTTAATAGGTATTATACTTAGATATTTAAAATCTCTTTGTATATAAGCTGTTGTCAACAAACATTTCCAATTATCTATTCTTTAGGTGTAATCTATGAAGGAAAAGGAAACTACTTTGTTCAATATTTATCTTTGTATAAAAAAAATTAAAAAAATGTGCCACAAGTCCAAAATGTTGAAGGCAGGGGAAAATATTGGCATTCACTATTCTGACATTAACTTAGCTAGTCACATTTACTAACTTAACTAATCTTCATTAGTTCTTTCACTATAACTTCTTATTTATTCTGAAATATTTCCTGCTGCAACCACAAGTTAACAAATTCTGAATTGGCCAATTCAGCAGGTGAATTATTTATACACTTCTTCGTTGATTTTGACTTCTATGGTCACCATCTTGCTATCTATATTGACCAAATCCTTTTTTAAATGATTCATATAATACAAGTGAAAAAAAATTTCCCCAATGATTTTATGAAATGTATATAAAAAAAATTGTGTTAGTTCTCCATCAACCTAATATAGCAGACCCATTGAAAAAAAAGACAAATGAAAATAGCAAAATATTCTCACATCGCCAAAGAAACTTATTTTCTGTCATTTAATGGGGGGAGGATAAGGGAAACTAAGAAAATAAAAATATAATCGAGTATACATTCCTTAGTTAAACTGACTTAACAAAACATGATACTTAATCTACTTTAACTTGGGTTGGGTTATTGAGTCATTTTCAGAACAAAATTCCTAATCCAGGTTATCCTCCACTCATCAGTCATTCAATTCACCTATTTTTCACCAAACTTTACCAAAGTCTCTTACTCTCTTAAACCTTAAGCTGATGCTTAAAGAAGGAAACCAGATAGAAAGACTGATCCCTGCCAAAATTCCTTCTGCTTCATCCATACAATCATTTGTGTCACACCAAAGTAAACATGAAAAAATGTAATGTTTCTTTTTATTGACAAACTAGATCAGATTAGTGCAAGATTAACAGGCATTCAGGAGAGAAAAAGCTTTCCTTGAAGTATGCAAATCATGTCACCATGACTATACAAATGTGCAGTGAAATGTGTGTTTAATAGAATCCTTTATATCATAATAATTTTGTAGCATCATTTTATTCTGTAGAGACCAACTCTATTAGACTAAGGAAAAGATACCTACCTCAACTTTAGACATGATAGATTGCTGTGACATTGGCAATTCCTATAAGAAGACTAAAATATCCTGTAAAAACAGCTGCATATGCTAACTGCAAACATTTATAATTAATCCTAAAGTACATGTTTGGGAAGAAATCCCCAAACAAGAAAACAAACAAATTGCAACTTAAGTCATAATAAATCTCCCAAATTTAGTTACTATTAATACAAATATATTGGTTTATAAATGTATACATAAATTTATAAACCATATACAAATGTATTACTTTTTTTTTCCTTGGTCAAAAGGTTATATGTATATATTCAGAGAAGAAGTTGACAAACTATTTGCTCAAATCACCAGAGTACATAATAAATAATTACATTTCATTATTTTTTCAGGCTCCCCGGTGTATTCTTAAAATTTTGGATGAAGAATGTCGATTCCCACAGGTAACCAAACTTTTTTTTATTATATATAATTTTACTCTTTCTGCTATTTTGTTGAAATCTGAATTATGGGTTTGAGCTTTGCAATAGCTAGAATTTTTTGTTTTTTACGTGCACACACACACACACACACACACACACACACACACACACACATTTAAATTCTTGAATGACTATCCATTTATTATTATACAAGGATTATTTTGAATTTGCACACTCAGCTTCATTGTTTTTTGTTGCATTTTCACCTTTGTGATTGTCAGTCCAAATGAATCAGTAATGATTGCTTTATTATCATTATTTCCATTTCTCATGATTTGCTGTTTGTTATAATCATTTGCCAAATTACCTGAAGCAAAGGAAAGATTTTTTGTTTTTTTGTTTTTTCAGAAAGTTGAGAATATTAAATTGAGAGAGTTTTTCTGAGTATGTTCATGAATATAGTCTTTTGTATCTCAGATTGTAGTAAGTTCCCTGGGATTTTTTGAATATGTCTATAATCAGTATCCTTTTTAATCATGCCAAGTGCTCCTATTATTGGAATAGTGGTTGTGTTTAAATGCTACATTCTTGAAATTTCCATTCCCAGGTCCTTATATTTTGAAAGTTTGTCAAATTCTTTTGCCGATGTTATAGACAAGCGTATGGTTGCAAGAAAGAAATACGACAACAGCAGAAATAGATTTATGTGATTTATTTCAACAGGAATGAGTGGTTTTGGGACAGCTACCTTGTGGCATAGTTCATAGGCTGGATGAAGATCTGGGTTGATCTCTCATAGTAGTTCTCGCTGGTTGGCGTATCGCTACTGCTGCTGGCTGCTGCTGACTGCTCAGCCTGACCGTGACAGGTCTCTTCCCTGGCCTCCTGTTGACTGCCTGTTGTACTTCCCTGTGACCCCTTTTATGGCGTTTTTTATGGCTTAACAGGCTCAAAAAACAATGCGAGTATAATTTGGAGGGAAGCATTTTTATTGGTCGAAAAATAGAAACACTTTAAAATATTATTTTATTTTTCGACCGGAACTCGTGCGTCGGGAACATGCGTAAACGAAGATAATGGTCATTTTGTGACGGGGCCTTGTCCCGTTCACATCCGGCTCTCGCTCTTGAGTATGTTAGTTTATTTGCCTGTAAATCAGCTGAGATATGTCTTATTTTATTTTATAATACCGAGATGTTTTTATCATACAAGATGGCATGTTTTTTTTTAAGTGTTTCATTATTATTACTATTGTGTCCATTGGATTGTACAGTGTGGTCAATATATATGCTGAAGTCCTAGAATGCTGTAACATTTTCACCTTGCACTGAAGTTAGTTTGTATTCATACCATTTTTATGCATTAGGAAGGTTATAATGTTGAAATATCTTCCAATACAGGTAGTTCCCTACCCTGTCATGTCTATATTTAAATTCATTTGATAGAGCAACCAGACATTAGATGATCAATTTTTTCCTCAGCATTGAACTTTTTTCTTTAAGATGAATCGGTCTGTTTCTAGTTTTAGCCATTGATGGGTCAGATTTCTTCAACATCAGCATCTTGTGCTCATAATAGTTAACCTCTTTTTTTTTTTCTTTTGATGTTTTTGGCCTCAACTACTGATATTTCACCTTTTTTCATCTTGTTTGTACAGTTGTAGATCTTGTTTGAATGTTTGGTTTTCTTTCATAAGTGAATGTAGCTATTTATTGGATTCATGTTGGCAAACAAACTACACATTTGATTTCACTATTAAGATTATTTAGGATTGAAGTAGCTTTCTACTTTTTCATACTAGATTTTAAAAAATTAATGAGAAGTGGAAAAATTTGCATTAATTTTAATGTCTTTATAATTCAGTCATGTCAAATATTATCAAACGTTTTTATAGTCATCCACACACTGCTTAAGTTTCAATTTTTGGAATGACAGCTTTCCAGTAAAATCTTAATGATCAGTAGTTGATCATTGCAACTGTAAAAACCTTTCTTGTATCCTTTTTTTCTCACTAGGAAGAATGCTATTTCTGTCAAAGAACTGAGATGTCCTTTCAGTTAAAATTGATGTTAATACTTTCTAGAAAGTAATTGCTTAATGTGGTTAGCAGTGTCATCATGTAGGGATTAAATTTGTAATGCCATGGTCAGTCATTCCAGACTTTTGTTCTGGATTGTTGATAGCTTCAACATGCAGATTTGTTTATAATTTGTATATGGTTGTAAATACATTTTATTTATTTATTTATTTAGTAGTTGTTGTTGTGATATTATGCCAACTTCATATTTGTCTCAAATAATGCAGGCAAAAATGATGATTTATTTAAACAGGATTTTGGCATAATTTATTAAGAAATGAAGAGTTGCCTCCCTTGAAGTGTTTCAAAGAAGATGGCATGAAATAAACTAAATCATATTTTATAATCATAAACTAAATCATATTTTAATGCTCAAAGTAATTGCGACACAGTCAGTGACATGTCCATTCTATCTAGAGTATTTTTTGGAAAAAAAACATTCAAACAAATTTTAATCCTAAGAGTAAAGACAATAAAAAATTTGAAAAAATTGTAAAATGATCTAATTAGCAATCATTTTAATTATTTTTAACTTTGTCATTAATCAAAAATAAAAAAACATAAACCCAAATACAAAAAATCTTCATTTTTTGTATTTGGGTTTATGTTTTTTTATTTATAAATAAAAAGTAAGTTAAGCATGAAAGGTAGTATTTTTACATAACCTTGACTTTGAATAAAAATAAGAATATTTGTTTGTAATTAAAGAAAGATGCAGCGATTAATACTGCCAAATTTAGAAAACCAAAACATGAAAGATATGAATAAAATAAAAATTTCACTAATTATGTCTATTGCATAGAATATGTCTTGAAGTTAAGATGAAAGAGTAAAATTTATTTTTATTTAGGATGTGAATTAGATTATTAAATCCTATTTAATTTATTTGGATGTTCTTTTAAAATTATCATTATTAGGTAATAAACACTGGAATGCTTGAATAAAACAAATTTTGCTATAGGATTTATAAGTCTCTAAAATGATCCATGAATTTGTTTTATCAGGACAAAAATAGATTTATTTGCTTAATAATAAGTGATCAAAAGACTTTAGAATAAAATCTGTTTGAATCATTAACAACTTTGGTGACTTACTAAAACAAAATGACAGCCTATTTAATTTTCAGTAAAAGAACTTAATTTATTATAAACCATTTAATTGCTTCAAATATCCACAATATCATTCATTTTTATTTTAGAATGACTCATTTTGAAGTTCTTGTTTTTTAAGGGTTCGGATAAATCTTACCTGAACAAGCAACATCAGGAATTTGGTGACCATTTATACTATATCAAGGGTCAGGACCGACGTTGCTGGGAGGTAGAATTTGGGATCAAGCATTATGCTGGACCTGTCTTGTACAAAGCTCATGGATTTTTGGAAAAGAACAAAGATGTTCAACAGGACCAGTTATTTGAATTGATGTATGAATCAAAAAATCCTTTTGTGAAGGATCTGACACGCTTCCAGGTAAGGCATCAAAATCAGTTTTCTTAAGTTTCTCATGTTTGATAATAGAGTTAATAGAATTTTATAAAGATTGTTGCAAAATTGTTTTGCATTTTACAGTTTAAGTTTTATTAATAATAAAATAATACTAAATAAAAGAGTGAGCATTCTCTTATGTCTGTGATAATGTTTTGTTTTTTGTTACATGGTAAAGAGCCTTTTGCTTGATTGAAGGTCATACTGGAACTTATTTAAATGCTTCAAGAGAGAAACAAGAACAAGAACAGCTAAAATAACTTTGATACTGGTGATCTTCACTGATCCACACAATTGTATGGTTAGAACATTTTCTGATGTTGGCAGTAATTGATGTACTTAAATAATAACTTACAAATTGATTTGTACACCTTGGCATGGGATAATGGTTAGCAAATTTGTCTGGTTCATATTTATTACTGAATTTGATTTTCACTAGGTGTCCCTTACTTGTGGCTTTGTGTCAAAACTAAGCTAAACTTTGTAAATAACAACTTGACAAATGATTCTGATTGTGACTGGTTTTGAAACTTTTGTAGCATTCTTCTTTTAAAATAAGAATGAAACAATCTCTTCCTTCACTATTTTATCAGGTAAATTGGCCAAATGTTATTAAGCTAGGTAAAGAAAATACATATGATTGAATAGATGAGCAGTTCAGTCCTTCACTATTACCTATCTGTATAATACCAACATAGTCATTGTTAGCCTTGATTGCATGATTATTTTTATAGTTATTATACAGTAGAAAAAATGATATGAAATAACACCCATGAGAAAATTGCATTTATATTCATATCTTAAAACATTTTTTTATAAAATTTATGCTGTTAGATGAAAAACTGTAAGAAAATTCTGCTATCAAAATTACTTGTATATATTTAGAACTTAATGATTCCAAAAGCAGTTTACACATAACTAAATGTCGCAATAAAAATTAATAACAGAAATCTTAACATTCAGTACCACAACATTTTAAAAATCATTGTCAAATACAAATATTTATTGAATTTATTTATTAAAAATTGTCATAATATTTATAGAAAATGTTTTTTTCGTAGGTTTCATGTATCTGATTCATTTTACAAAACATTGAAGGAGAAATAAATTTGGGTATCATTATTCTGCCATCTTATGTTATTATCATTTCCTCATTATGTATTTATAAAGATGAATGGAATTTCAATTCACAAAAGATAAAAACATATTTTTAAAAACAATTTAAGTTGTTGAACTATTTCTTTTCTTACTTTTTTTTGTTTATGTATCAATAAAGGTAATTAGACATACTGTTTAACTAAACCATTTAATCAACAGGTATCAGGAAACAAAATCTATAATGAAATTGTAATTCTTTGTTTGATTCATTGATAATGATGTCATTATACTGATACAATATTATGAAAGACATTGTTGCATTTTATTATTATAATTCTGAGATCAGAAATTTTATTATTATAATTCTGAGATCAGAAATTTTGTTATCCTTGAGAACATTGAAAACAATGATTTTAGACATGATATATAAATAATTATTTAGCATGATTTTAGTTGAAATACCAGTGGCAGTGCAATAAAAATATCTTTTTAGTTTTCAGTCGAATGGCTTTTATTAATATTAGTGCCAGAATTATTTGTTTCTTATTTTCATGTTCAAAGAATGAAAGCAGTTAAATATTCAAAAATTTTCCAAATTTTTTTCAATTTATTTTGAGAGTATGTGATTATTTGTTTTTTTTTTTTACACAGATAAATTATTTAAATTTTATTAAAATTTATTTAAATATTTATACATTTTCAATGTATTTTAAATGTTATTACTTTTCTTCATTTAATAGTGCTGTTTTTTGTGTGTACCCCTGTGGACTACAATCCAATTTATTGTACATTTCATATTGTCTGTCAAGAAGAATAAATAAACATTAACACTATTTAATATACTTTAATATTAAATAGTGTATAATGTTTATTTAAATCAATTCAACATTGTTTATTCTCCTTTCAATTAAAAAAATGAATTCCTTATATTGGCATTCTCAAACTATATTTGATCTGAAAATTAGGAATAATGAAGTAAAGAGGTAGAAAATTAAATCAACCTTTCATGATCAATATTGCTCAATGATATTTCTTGTTCTTTAATTTAAAAAAAATTTCTGCATGCTTGAAGGGAGATAACTGTGTGATGTCTTATTGTTGATCGTTTTGTACGTAGTAGCTGCAAAACTAAAAAAATATTGGCTTTTGACTCAAGGAATAACCAATATTACTAAATATCTTTTTTCTCTTCCTCTAGAATGGTCCATACATGTCTATGCACATACATCAGTATATATGTGTGTCTATAGGATGTTAAAAAAATATGCTTACAATTAAAGTTTACTTTGTTAATTGGTAGATTTTATATGCAGAAAACCTTGAGGGTTATCTAAATTATTAAAAAATAAAAAAGGCATTTCAGCGATGTAGATCTCTCTGCCAGTTTTGTTTTTAATTCAAAATAACCAGCAAATACAAATTAGTGTATTTATTTTTCTAAGTGCCCACATTGCATAATACACTATTATTTTAGTTGACATTTAATAGAGATATATTCATTGACAATATTCAGTTTATTGTTAAAAGAAATAAAAATACAGAATTACTTAAAAAAAAAAACCAGGAGCTCAGTAACTTTCAGATTTTAAAATGAACAGATTGATGGTTAATTGAAAGGTGAAGTCAGCATCAAATAATATTGAAATTAGCAAATTGCACTTTCAGCTGAAAAAAAAAATAATCATGTGATCATACAATTCACAAATTGTATGATGACTGGATCTTGTTCCACCTAGGCCATCAACAAGTGTAATGAGATGAGAGAAAAAAGAAACTGTTACAAAGTGACATTTGAAGCAAGTTGTACTGAAATGAGCCCCCAAGTGGATGTACAAGGGAGTGCTGAAAAATTCTTAGACAACCAGTAATGGATTGCCTTAGAGTTATGAAGCATACACACTATTCTACATATTCATCCCATAGTTTGACATACATGGCACATAATTTCTTTAACTCTTCTAAAAATATTTCTTTTGTTTGGTGATTGAATTACTGCTACTGCTGTGATCTCTACATTATTCCTTTTTTTTTTTTTTTCCAAACACTTTTTAAAGCTTGGGAACAGGAAATAATCAAATGAATCAATATTTGATAAATAGTGAATACACTCAAGCTACAAATCATTTTAAACATCCATCAGTTTGCCAGCCTTGTAAACAGGTGCATTGTCCTTCAAAAAAAAAAAGAAACCAATTTTCTGCAACTTCCTCTGGCATTTTTCTTTCAACAGCTCTTTTAATTGGCACAGAAAATTTGAGTACTTCTGCACCAAATTCTTGGCCCTTCTGAAGACCATTGCCAGGATCTTTCCTACTGATTTTTGGCTTTTGAATTTCTTTGGCTATGGCGAACCCAAGTGTCACTAATTCATGGCCTGTTTCCTTAACAGTGACAAATTGTTCCAAATAATTATCACTCGATCATCAAAAATGTATATCTAATTTACACACATATACACAAACAAACAAAAAATTAAAAATCTAACATAAAGCTTGTAATAACAAAGTAAAAACAATATTGAAAATCAGTTAGATAGGATTATATTTTCATTTTACCTATAAGATGATTTTCATGACATATGATATGTTAATTAGATTGCCATGTATAAAAACTATAAACATAAACATAATAATTGAAGATTGTTTAAAAATAATTTAATTTTTAAAAATATTTTTAATCTTATTAAATCTTAATATTGTAAAAATAAAATTGAGAATATATTAACTTGTATTTAATTACTATAATATTTAATTTTATATTGTTTAATTTTTTATTACTATTTATAATTGTATTAATTTCTTTACTGTTCAAGAATTATTAACTACTAAGTTATGAATATGTAAGTGGGGTTTTCAAAATTTAATTTTGTACCAGTTTAGATATTTATTTTAATCATTTCATGCCAAGCAAGGCAATAAAGCCACTAAGATGTAAAAGGTGGAAGAATATGACTAAAAGTAAAACATTAAGGAGAGAGAACAATAAAAGAACAGAAATTAAGAAGACAGAAGATAATGATTGATATTAGATTAAAATTTTTCGATATAAAAGTTGACTGGAAACTAAGATAATGAAAGAGTGTTCCACACATGACGAGTGCAAGTGAAGACATTGTTAGCATAGAACTTATGCTAATATATAGCAATTTCAACTGTAAAATGATGAGACCTAGGGGCCAATCTAGTACTGCACTTAAATTTATAATGATGAGGCACCAAAAATGAAAGCTCATCAGAAGAATTACGTTGAAAATAATTATAAAAAAAGCCACAGGGAAGCTAGTGTTATGGACATGGGAAAGTAACTGAAGCAAAGATATGAAAACCAATAATATTGCAGATTCTTGTTTAGATTTTATGAATGTCTAAATATATAGCAAGAGCACCAGACTAGATATGGCAGCAGCAGTATTCAAAGTAAGGACGAATTGTGTGCAAAATTGATTATTGAAAGAAAAATGGTCTAGCATGACACAGTGAGCCAAATTTCCTAGCAAGCAGACCTAGCAATTGATTCAATATAATCTTTCCACATCATATCAGTAGAAAACATTAGTCCAAGAAGGTGTAATGAGTTACTCTCCTGGAGCTTAGTATCATGCTGTTGGAAGGCAAAAAAAAAACAATCTCTAAGATGATTGAAAGGGAGCAGTTTCATTTTGGAGGCATTAAAATTAACAAACCATTTCTTGCTTCAGTTAATTTCTCCAATAATAATAATGCAATATATTGTACAAATCATGTATATAGAAAGGATTAAAGTAACTCCCTCCTTAAACTTGTTTTCAGTACTTGTTCAGTAGTGTTTTATTTACATTGATTAGAGTAGGATCCTCCATGAGATCACTAAAAAAAGAGCATAGCATGATGAAAAAGACCCTAAACTTG